TATCAGAATATCAGCAACATTTTACTATTTAACCACTTTTTGATATCTTTCACAGTAAATGAGATATATAGGCTCAAAGTGGACGATCCGGGTGTCGTTCTATTAGAGGTTTTACGGTATCTGCTTTTCTGTTCGAGTGTCCTTTGTAAAATTATTAGAATATGGTCGAAAAAACGACTGGGAATTCCCCATGGAAATCAGAGATCTAAATTATATTTTAAACAATTTTCAAAAAAAAAAACGAAAAACCCCGAGAAATTGATACAGATCTGTTTCCAAAAGTAGATCAAACGATTTTTGAAAACAAAAATTCTTGGCTTTAAAAATTCCAAAAACTAGTCTAAAAACATAAACAAAAAAGTATGAGAAATTCGGTTTGAAAACCGGTAAAGTCTGAGAAATATACGAATGAGTAATTGAAACACTTTTCTTTTTGAAAAGCAACAGAAAAAAAGAAAAAAAAACAAATTTCAACAAACATAATTAGTCTATCCTCAGTACGCTGTCTAAAACAGGAAAACTGGAATTTCTAGCAAAACATTATATCGTATAAAAAATTGACATTTTATGGTGTTAAAATGGTTGTGCTTCCTTTGTTTCCAGCCAAATTGGTCAGCAATTTGTTTAATCTTCCCACCATTCGACTCGTATCTTTGATCAACCCAGCGGTGATGAGAGCGTTGTCGTAGATCTGAAAATTGTTTTTAAGTCATAGAAAGAGTGCAGAGCGGTCGAAGAGAGACGCAGAGATGAAGACCTGTATAAAGCCACGTTTACATTTTAAAAGTCGAAAGTCAGAGAAACAATATGATTGGGCAATGTTTCCAAACTTTGCACAATACTTTAGGCTGAAAATCATCAGCATTGGTTTAGAACCTTCAGAGATGATCTAGAAAACCAATAATTGAAAGTGTTCAAACAAAGCTTCTAACATTCGAAATTTTCATGAGAAAAACTCAAGTCTCTCCGAAAATCGTTACACCTGTGTGAAAATTACTGTACCTGTTCAGCCAAAATTGCCGCAGTTTCCTTATCAGTCTTCCTCATTTTATACATTGATTTGACAAGTGGATGAGTCAAATTGACATGTACATGTGGTTTAAAATACACCAAATGTTCCATATCCTTGATTTCGCCAGTACGAAGAAAATGACGGGCGGCACCCATGTCCAACACAGTTACCATGACGGGATGCTCCGATGGGCGGTGATTGCCTGGAAACGGATAGAGAAATAGACAACAATTCGTATAGCTGATGTCATTCTTCTTCTAGAGGAGGGATTTATTCGTTTCACTATAGAAAAAGGAAATTCTCGCAAGACTCGCAAGTAGGGTAGAGAATTAGAGGAATGGATACGGTATATTTGTCTTGCGTATACCAATTAATAAACCAACCTGAAATTTCAGCTACTTTTACACTACCGAGTGTGTCCTTCATCCAATCGAGCAGCTCCTTCTTCTCGTTGTCACGGAAATCTTCTGGAAAAAATTGTCAAATATCCCATTTTCTTTTTGAGAAATTTCGATTTTCTAATTCTGCCTCCTATACTCACTTGTATCTTTTTTATCGTCTTTTCCACTCTTCTCAGCTTCTTCCTGTGCCCATTTTTCAACAGGAACCAATTGTTTCATTGCGAATTGTCCCAAGCCTAAGAAAACGACCTCGTCGGCTGGATCATATAAGAAAAGGACTTCCTTGTTTTGCGACTTGATCACCTCGTAGTATGGGGAAGATTCGGCGAGGTGGCGGCTGAAATTTTTATCCAATTGTTTCCAGTTTCAGAAATTGAGCTTCAAATAACTCACTTATTAGCGTACATATAATAAATTTCCTTTTGCTCTTCCTGCATTCTCTTCACATAATCTCCTAAACTTGTCAATTCTCCAGCCTTCTTGGAAGATGATTCAAACAACAAAAGCTTTGCAACTTCCTCCTTGATGTCTTGATTCTGTTCAGTGACGACTCCTTCTTTGAAATAAATGGAATAATTCTTATAGAATTCCGAGTATTTCACCGGATCCTTTTTCATTTCAGATTGGAGGGATCCGAGAATTTTATCGGTGATGATCTTACGGAGCTTTCGAAGAACTGGATTGTTTTGGAGCATTTCACGAGACAGATTCAAGGGGATGTCTTCCGAATCCACGACTCCAATGACAAAACGAAGGTAGCTAAAGAAAATAAGAGAGGAGGTTATCAAGTGATCAAAGAATCTCACTTTGGAATCAATTCTTGAGCATCTGGTTTGATGAGAACACGTCTTGCATACAGAGACAATCCACACATCTTCTGTTGAGCCATAAACGTTAATTGGTTGAATTCCGATTGAGGAATATAGATAACTGATCGAAGGGATACTGGGGTGTCTGTCTGAAAATGGGAGAAACTTCCAGACGAAAAGGGAAACCGTTTGATTTTACCTGGAAATGAATAGTGTACAAAGGACGAGTGAACATATCTTGCTTTCCTTGCGTTTTGACTAGTTGTCTGAAAAAAAATTGAATTTAACAAAACGTTTTCATTTTGGATTTCTCGACTAATGATTCATTCCGCCAAAAGTATTTTTCTACTATTTGATATGTTTGAACTATATTGATATTTTATCACTTATTGTTCTCAATAATCGAGTTCCTCGGCCATCACTTACTTGAAGAAGTTTTCATGCATTTCCTTATTGACTTCTCTTGCCTGCATTGTCCAGATGGCATTCAAATTGTTCACTCTCTCTCCATTAACCAAAATTGGGGAAGACACGAAATACGAGTATTTATTAATGACTTCTCGAATTTTCTCTTCTTCAGAATAACTTGCTGAATCTCCAACTTTTAAACGAATCTCAATCCGAGTTCCAGTCGGTAGACCATCAGTTTCAGCGATTTCATACGAATTATCACCGTTCCATGTCCAACGAAGACCTTCTTCTGGCCCTGATCCTACTTTTCTTGTGGTGACAACAACGGAATCGGCAACCATGAAAGCGGAATAGAAGCCAACACCAAATTGACCAATTACTGCTTCTGCGTTCTCCTTGTTCTGGAAGAAAAGGGTTCAGGGTTTTATTTTTCAAATTGTTTTCTCACATTCTCAATGAAATCCTTGGATCCCGACTTGGCGATAGTTCCCAAAAACTTGATCAAATCATCTCGATTCATTCCGATTCCCGTATCCTCGAAGATCACTGTCCGCTTCTCTTTATCAGTTGTGATTCGAATTTCACTTGGCCCTTCGGCAACTTCTCCTTTTAGTTCTGCGTATCTTCTCTTTTCTAAAGCATCGCTGGCGTTGGAGACGAGCTCACGAACGAAAACCTGCAAAATTGATTTTTTTGAAAGCTCATTTTCTGAATGCATTCACTCATAGTACTTTAAGCTACAAAAACAAGTGTATTGTCGAATTTCATACCAAGAAATCGAAATTTTGTTCAGAAAATCCCACTAAATTCACATAAATTAATTTGATATCTACAGTATCCGTTGTGAGAGCGATGCCTCGTAAATCGACACGAGCGTTGCCCACGAAAATTTTCAAGTACCAGTTTGTTTAATCCGACAATATTAATGTTACCTCACTATGCGAATACAATGATTTGGCTACAATATCCATTAAATTTTTAGTTTCCGCTTGAAATTCATGGCGTTGAGGCTCAGAAGCCAGGAATCGTTTTTGTGGATTACTGTAGGTTGGTTGGAAGTGGGCGGAGATTGAGATACGTGTGGAAGGAGCTCTGAGGATCCGTGAGAATCTGGGCGCTAGACGAAGCGACATCTGGAATTACAGACGGATAAAATTAGAAAGACACCCGGGATAAGAAATAATTTTTTAAAAGTATGAAAAATGTTCGGAAACATGAAAAAAAACATGCAATGAAAACATCAAAATAATCAATTTGAGCATCTTATTAAGTGAGCCGTTTGCCAAAAAGTGAAAAATGAAGTGAATGGGAGACATAGCATAATTACAAACATTTGAGTCTAATTTTCATAAATAAATATTCGACGGCTATTTTTTTCTTTTGACACCATTTTTCTTTCCAAACTGTCCAAAAATGTAGTCATGCGAGTTTTGTGATGACGACATCATATCTTGATAGTGTTGTTGAACTTCTGTAACTGAGAAGTCTAGTGCTGGATTTGAAAGCAGCGATTCGCCATGATCCTTGATGTGCTCATACATCATGTCCGTGAAGTCGATGACTGATCTGAAAACATCGAACATTTATTACGGAGGGGTACTCTAGACATTCAAAACTTACGCAGAAGTTGTGTCAGCCGGTTGAGAAGCGTGTCGAGTGGAGTTGGGCGACATTGATAGATCGTCTCCGAAGTATTGTTGAAATACGGTTTTCTAGAAAAAAGAATTAATTCGGAACACTAACAGATTTTAAAATCATAAATCAGAAAATATTGTCAGTTTCCTGGGAGTTTAAGTATGCAGTTTGTCTTTTTATGTAACCCACTTTTGGCGTCTGCTGAGGTGTGTGTTGTGGTGTCCTCAACGATGACCAAAAATCTTCTTGTCTCTTCTTCTGAATCTCCGCTTCTGTCAATTTTTTCGCCGGTGATAATCCCATTTTCACAGATGAAAAATCGATTGGAGGCTTTTTCGGAACAGGAGGTCCCGCACTCGTACTTGGCTCGTTATCCGGAACATTATGTTTAACATTCTGGATTACCGGAGTTCTTTTTATAGCATTCGGTATTACTGTAGCTTTAGTGATTGTTGATGTTGGCGGAACTTCGACAAGAGGGGAGATGGGTAATTTCGCCACGTTTTTGACTGTCGAATGTGGAGACTCGTCGCTACCTCTGTTGACAGTCGGAGTAGATTTCTTAGGAACTATCGTACATTTTGGGGCCACGAAAACTTTTTGGATTTGAGAATCAGTGGTATTTGAAGTTGGAGCATCCACAGTAGGACGAGCAGCAAAATGAGGATTCCCAGTTGCCAGAGAAGGGTTTCTTGTAACTTTTTTGGTGATTTGAGTTTTTTTGCGGTTCATTTTACGAAGAGATGCCAATTGAGATTCGAACTCTTCGTTCTCTTGGCGAACGATATTCGACTCGATTGTTATTTGAGGAACAGTTGGTATCGGAACCTTCAATTCACGTAATAGTGGGGATGCCAGTGGTTGTGGCAGTGACGATGGAAGTGGTAATGATGGTGGTAGTGGTGGTGGCAGAGGTTGTGGTGGTGGTGTTGGTGGAGCGAGTAGAACGGGTGGAGGATCGACGACGACGGTGGGAATGTTAACGGGTTTGAGCTTTTTAGCTGGTGGAGCGTCCCTGAAAAACAAAGGAGGTTTCGTGTATGATTTAAGAAATATGCTATCATTTTGAAAATAAAAACTCACACAACACTATTCTTTTTCTTTTCCTTCAAACAATCTCCATATCCTCTTCCCAATAGACCAATCATCAATTTCCATGGTTCCGTGGAACGAGACTCCGGTTTATCACACTGTACTTGATATCGTAATTTGATTGGATTTTTGCGCCCACACTAAAAAAGAGAGATGCTTTAACTTTTGAATTCCCACATTTGATTCTGTCAAACTCACTACACAATATAGCTCAGCAACGATAGCACTTCGAACATTTCCGAAATTAAGTCCCTCATTGACCACAGAGTCTGTGAGAACAAACGGGCGTGGGAAGACTACGGTAGTCAGAGGTTTGTTCTTTTGAGCTGGAAATGCAGACTTGATAAGTTTTGAAATATTTAACTTTCAAAAAAAAAGTGTACCTGTATTCACTTCCACTCCAAACTTCAATCCTGGTTCTGGCTTCTCTGGTTCCATTTTCTTTTTTAATTCCTCAGCGTTTTTTATTAATTTGTTCATAGATAGAGATATAAATGGCGAATTCTCAACTGTTTGCACACTTAAACTCGCCAATTCACAAGACGAATCTGGCCATAAAGTCACTGAAACAGGTGACTGTTCATTTCCTGCTGACCATTTTTTGTGAAGAAATTCTAACAGTTTCATAATTCGATCGTTTGTGTTCAGTTTCACACGAAGATACGGGTTTTGATCCCGATTTCGCATGAAAACGTGGTCTCCATTGCTGGTTGGTTCTAGATGAACGTAGACTTCCGATGGGATTTTGTCAGCTTTTTTGACGCCTGCAGAAATAAAAATGCTAATTCTCGGGATACGGAAACAATCTTAATTTCAAAACTCACTAAAGTATCTACACAATGCCGGACATGGGGGTGTTCGAATTGTAACAACCCTTCTTGCAGCTCTCACATTAACAACTCCTTCGTGAAGAAGTTCTTTGAATTTCGACGCAGTGACTTTCATACTCGCCGTTCGCTTCTTCCATTCACATGCATTGATTATCAGAAATAGCTCACGAGCATCGCGTGGAATTTGTGGTAGATCATCTGGAAGGGATGACGAGTTGGCAAAGGTGAGGTCGGTCTCTCAGAAATTTCAGAATATTGTTTACCGTCTGTCCACTGCAAAATTGCTCGATACGCCCTCACTGAGTTGAAGAAAAATGTTTTTACATGTTCTTTCAATTTGAAGAATTTCCGTTTTGCCATCAGCTTCACGACCGAATCATAGTCCTTTCCAAACTGAAAACAGGGAAGCTCTATCAATTCGCCTTTTATAACATGTTTTTCTTATTCCTTACAAGTTTAATTCCATCATAGAAAGCGTTCACTTCATCGATTCCCCACGGTTTCCTGATACGTGGCACTTGCATGTGAGGCAACATTGGCGGTCCCATCAATGATGAAGTAGTCATCCCTTCCAAATTAAGACATTCTGACATCTCCGAGGATTCAGAAAGTGACATAGAGGATTCCTCTTTGATAACAGTAGAAAGTAAAGAGGGAATAGGGATCTGCATTGGTGGAAGAGGGGGTTTAAATGCTCGACGTCTTCTGGAAGGGTTCTGAGGAGTCAGGATGTCTTCTGAATCGTCTGGAACATCGTCGAAGTCATAATCATCGCCTTCTTCTTCTTCCTCTCCTTGAGTTGGGTCTAAATAATGAATTGCATCTGGAGATGACATCGCGTCAGGTGGTGGTGGTTGTTCTGATTCTTCATCCATTTTATTCTGAAAACTTTAAGCTTTAAAACAGAATTTGAATAATTAAGTAAAAACAGAGAAAATCGATGGAAATCGCAACATTTTTGAAACAAACAAACGATTTTCTGTATGTGAACATGATGAATTGACATAATTTTCCGCAGTTTTAAACTGCTGTCTGTGACCGTGGCCTAAAACATCACGCAACTAGGCCAGGGGTTTTTTTGCATTAATGCATGTATTGTGGTTCTAAATGAAAAGATGTCCAAAATAAATCAGAGACTTGATTTTTCAAATTTAAAACAGCATTTTTCGAAAGTGTCCTATTTTTCTCCGTTGTTGAAGTACTTCAACGGTTTATTTTTGCTATCGACTTGGGTGATTTCAAGAATTAATAATTAAAGAAAAAGAGAAATATGAATGTTCAGTGTCTCTGCAACACCAAAGAAATAAAAATGGATCTTTAAAAGTATTGACAGAAAAAAGGAATATTTTACAGAATCGTTTTTTATTGAAAAAAAAAAAGAATCACAGAAAAAACCAAAGTAAAAATTGCGACAAATCGGGGAAAATTAGTGTTACAACAGTCAAATAATTATTGAAGAACACTATATTTTCATATGAACTAATCATAAGCCGGCAATCCAAAATCCTCTGGTTTGAAATGTTCCAGTGAATCCAAAATTAGAGTAACTCGTTTTTTGAACTCTGGATCTTGATCTGGATCATAAATCGATCGTTCTGGGACCATCACACACTGCATTCCGGCATCTAATGCAGATAGTACTCCATTGTAAGAGTCCTCGAATACCAACACTTTTCCAGCATTATCTGGAACTTCTGGGAAACGTCTCATGGTGACGAGGAATGGATCTGGATGAGGTTTTCCGTGCTGAAAACTACAATTTAGAGATTTTTTTATTTTTCTCTTACCTTCACTTCCGGATCATCGCCCGAGAGTACTTGCAATTTGATCATGTCAACCCAATCTCTGTGATTATCCAATTTAGTCGGGAAAGTTCTAGAACATGATCCAGTACAAAGAGCAATTGGAATATGATGATGGATCAAATGACGGACCAATTTCTCAGCTCCCGGCATTGCAGGACTATGTTTGAACATTTCAATTAGGATGGCATCATATTGAAGAGAATATTCTTCTGGAGTCACAAGATCTCCGATATTCAGTTCATTGATTAGCCAGCGAATCGATTCATCATGTCGTTTGCCCATTTGTCCTGAAAATGGGAAGATGTCGAGGAAGCATGGGAGCAATTAAAATCCAACAAATTTTAAGTTTTCTATCCCGTATATAGAACATATTCTCTATCAGAAAATGAGACTAGGAACCAAATGTCTCCTCTTTTTTAGGTTCTTGAAGCAGAATTTTCGACTTTCAAATTTGTGTGCTTTCGGTTCTTTTTTTCTCACTTCTTTTTAAATCCATTGTGAACACTTTTCCATATTTTTTCAGCAATTCAGAATTCGCTTGAG